CAGTGAAGAAATGAGTTTTCATCACTCATTTAAAAATATGGAAGGAGTCAGACATATTTATAGTGGTAAAAGGTTCTAATGAAGCAGCAAGGCATAAAACACATAAAAAGAATGAATATTTAGTTTACAGAGAATGTAAGTATTAGAGGAACAAAGGCAACATAAAAATATGGGTAATAAAGAGGAGCAAAAGAACAAAATCATTCTGAAGTTAACAGAAGCTTAAAAACAATATAAAAAGAAAAGGGAACCAATAGAGATTATAGTAAGGAAAACTAATATAGTACAACCAATGACAAAATGGATTAATTTTAGAACTGAAGATAGAGGATTAAAGGTTACATGCTTGTATAACTTTTATATGATAATCTACATACAGGTTGCATAATTTCATATACAATGTTCTTACTATACAATAAAAAGGGAACTTTGAGGAAGCCATAAATAATTCAACAATAGCAGGAACTGCCGTAATCAGTCAAACAAGAGCTGCACTGATTCATATGATCTTATCATGATGGCATGAAAATCAATGCATGCTATTTCATGCTTTTCCAAATCAGACAGGGACTAGACTGAGTACTTTAGGAGAATGTTGCTAAAAATAGAATGTCATTTGTTCATTACAAAGAACTTCACAGCAATGTTAGAGGATAGACAAGTTGCAGCACCAGTTCTATTCATTAATATGTTTTACTTTAAAAATATTTAGACTTTAGTTTGGAGAAGGTATGTGCCAACAGACAGCTGCTCAATTTACAGTAGCCCATAAAGTACTGGGAGTCTGGCAAAGTATCCCAAACTCATAGACACTAATAGTGTTCAGATCCAATAAGACCCTTTATAAGCAAATATATATATTCATAAATACTTCATGATGTTGCTAAATTCAAGTATGTTTTTTATTTTGCAAATGTAGAAAAATATGTCATGCAATAAAAGCAACAAGACTAAAATTATCCACATTTGCAAAACACTAAAATATCTTATTGATCCTGAATGAAAAAATCTGAAGTAATCAGATATCAGACAATGGCTGTATTCATGCTTCCTTCTGAGCTAGTCCATTCAAACAAGGCTTAGTGATCTGGTTAACACAATATATTAAGTTATAAATCATGGTTTAGAAACAACAATGGCTGTAGTCACATATGGCACTAAAAACATATAATATTTAATAAGTGTGAATCAAGCCATTTTTTTGACGTTAACACTGTTATAGCATAAAAAAGTGAAAAAATGCTGTTTTTGAGGTATACTGAAACAGGAAAATCTAAAGCTATAATTTTAAAAATCATTTTAATCATTTATTTCACATAGCTCTCTGCTGTATTGGGCGGAGGACAGAACGGATGGGTGAGTAAACTTGCTGCCTACATAAGCCAAATATACCATTTATTATTTCTGTCATATGCTGCTTTTATGTTGTTGCTTTTCTTTTAAATTTTGGTTCCATTCTTATTTATGATTTTAGCTTTTATTGTTGAACAAACCAAAGAACTTCCATTTTTGGGTGGTATAAAAGTACTGTAAGATAAATGAAACGAATACATATAGCACAATCAAATCCATCAAATATCCCAATCTCAAACTACAATCAGCCTATAAATGGGTCAAAATAATCTAATAAACTATGTATCAAAACATAAATAAAATAGTTATTCATTCATATTTATAACAACATTCTGATTACTAAAATATAAGTATAGTAACCTTGGGAGTATAATTATTGTGGCTTGAAGAATAGGTATTTTCAATTTTTATATAATTTATGCATAATTCATTTATCTTCTTAAAGTGACAAAGTCCAGATTGCATTTAGTTTTCTAAAGTTTCCACTTTTCCTCTTGAAGAACCAATATATAAAAACTCAAGTCCCCATGGTTTCTAGTTCTTTAAAAAATTATTTTTCTATATTCTCTTTCTGTCTACATGATCCCAAGTTTAAAAAAACAATGGAGTGAAACAAATGCTATAAATTCCTTTTAGTATTTTCCTTTTTTGTTAATTTTATAATGGAAAAAAGAATTTGCTGCAATATTAATACCTTTGTATCAGGCCTTCTCTATAACCTCGTATGCTTTTGGCTAGGCAAGTTTCATCTTTGAAAAATACAGCCATCCATAAATGTAAACCTCTAAATCCATATTTAATTATAAATTAAGACCTCTGTGGTATAAAATTCTAATATGACGATACAGGAAATGGGCAGTTACTTTTGCTTATTTACCTTGCTCACATCTATGGGCACAGATTTAACTCATGAAATCAGATCTGATCTCAAAGTAAAATTGCACACAGCAAAATAACTACAAAAGGTAATATCAGGAAGGATATAACTCCCTTAAAACAAACATCTCTTTGCTACTATTAGATTTACTCTACTCCATTTTGTACATCAGAGGAGACATATAAACATATATACAAAGCTGTCCATATTTCTTCTAATTGAATCTCTAAATTAATAAACTACTTAGAAATCAAAACATGCTTTTACTCCTCAAGTTCGTTGACAAAGAGTTAAGAGCTTTGTTGCAAAAGGTTTGGCCCACCATCTTGAGACATGGGAACTGGTGTTCTTTTCTGTTCAGAATTACAAAAGAAGAAAAGGCAATCGGCTGCTGGATAGTGACTAAAACTTGCTGACTCAATAAGGTATACCAGACATATATTAAATCCTGCACGCATTGGATCCCCTTTTCAGTACAATGCATTGTGTGGAATTTCCCAATAAAAGCATTTTATTGGTGCTTATGATCAGAAAGTAAATTGCCCCATCAATATATAGTAAAATCAAGTGAAGCAACCTGCATGCAGATTTGAAGTATCCTATCTACATGTGATGCCATGGCTTATCATGCTTGTGATCTTGTGATGCTGGAGGACTGGTCTAAGAGTATACTATTTCTTCCAAGATTTTTTTTGTTAAGGTTGAATAAATAAAATAAAATAAGTATCTTTTTTCAACCTGTGTTGCTGTATTAGTCTTAGATTGCTTAGGCAACTATAATAAGCACAATTACTTGAAATCAAGTTCCACTATCATCAATAGCACTTATTTTCAAGTAAATGTTAACAGAGAATTATTAATAATTAAGATTGGTGTTTCCAATATATCCTATTTAAAAATCATTCTTGAAATGGAAGTTTTCCTCAGGGTACAAATGACCATTATTCAACATAATAGTATTTAAAAAACTGAAATAAAGAATGAGAGAATCTAAAAGCCATAAAGGGATCTATAGTTCCTACTACACTTTCTTTCCATAAGTACTTCTTTCACTGCAAAAACATATGCCCAGTTGAGAAACTAGAAAATTCTACAAAATCTGAATTAAACAACTAGCTATATTAGGAATATGCATATTTTGAAAACTAATTTAGAAAAAATTCTGTGCAGTTCACTACTACGCATTAAAGAAATCTATTATTTTTCAAATTACTAAATGAGGATAGGGGAAAAAATCTGCAGCTGCTTTAAAAAATCTATTAGTTAATGTAAATATGACTCCTACATAGCTGCGATTTCTTCAGGTTCACTTAGAAGTCTAGAAAGCAATAGACTTCTTTAATGAGTAGCAGATAGGTGCTAGTCTTCATGCAGGGTTCAAAGGACTTTTTCCAAATTATTTGTGAAATACCAGAGTTTGCTGGTGGTTTTTTTTTTATGTTGGGTTATAGATAACAGGAAAAAATACTTCAAATGTTTTATAATCTAACTGAATTAATTTAACTTATATTTTAGCTGCCAAACCAGATTAGAGGGGAGGCATAACCAGTCAAATCCAGTTCTTCCCAATCCACAGTTATTCTTTCAAATATCTAACTCATGAACTCTGATTCATCAATATACAAGCGCTTTATTTTTTGAAGGGGTTTGGATCTTCATAAGATCATTTATATTTACGCAAATCTTTTAAATTTTGTATTTTTATAAATATATGTAGTATACTTGAAAACATTTTTTCAGACTGTTAAATAAAAGGGGAGTAAAAGTGAAAATCAAAAGGTCTAAACATACTGCTGATTCTATCTAGAATGAGAGAATGAGAACTGAAATGAGAAAAAACAGGATTTAGAATTTAGTGTATGTGTGCCAAAAAATCCTTAAAGCAAGCAACTGTTGTTTTAATCTGTTATCTCGACATTAGTACTCTATCAGTCTTTGTCACTTCTTCTAATTAAGTAGACTATTTTTCAGGAAACATCCAAAAATAATAAAAGATGCCTCACATTATGGATTATTTGTATCCTGTTATTTTTTTCAAAATGAAACAAATTGTATTGAAGTTCTACCTTAAGAGAGGCCAGTGGATGTTCTGGACCAAGTAAACTCCAATGAAATGAAGCCAAATCTTCATCAGGTAGAATGTGATTACCTAAAATATACAATACATACCCATATGAATTACATCAATATCTGGAAAATTAAAATATCCTATTTACAGTATTAAAACCAGGGTCAATATAACTTTTTAAAACTGTAAGAATATGAATTGTAATTTATTTTAAGTAGTATGTTTACATAGTTAGATGAGTCTCCACATATGCATTAACTTAAATAAGTGCTTGGAATTACTGAAGCTGGATAGATTAGCTTCAAATTCTACTCCAAATCATGGAAATCCATTATGTTAACAGACATAATTAATCTATATTTTTTCTAATATCACTTCTAATTCTTGCGTATGTTTTTCTGAAAGTAAAATCCCTTTCACTGAAACCTATTTCCAAGTAATAATGTTTAGGAGTTAAGATTTTCAGACATCACTTGCTACATGGACCACTTCAACAAAATGAAACAATTCCTAAGCTACATAATGTAAAATCAGGGGCTCTGCTATAACAAAAATAACAATTATAAAACAAAAATTGAACATTTAAAGATTTTCTATGGTTCACCAAGGCAAAAACTGAATAGTTTTCAGACCATTCCAAGCTATGCAAGCATCTTAGTAGGAAGGAAGAAGGAAACGAGACACACAAGCCTCCCTTCTTCCAATATTTCTACTTCTGAGGTGATGATATACCAAAGTTTGAATTATGGTTCTGCATCGGTATAGAATAGGCAGCACAGCATTCCAATATGTGATCTACCCATATTTCTGGGATTAATGGATAACTTTCTAATACTGCCAATCAGCAAAGATGAAATGCTGATGTTTGACTTTTATGTTAACATCTCAAAAAAAAAACCTATTTGATTAAAACGTGATGATACTCATAGTTCCATTATGTACTATCCTCATGGTACTGTTGTTCTATCATGCAAACTGTGTAGGTTCAGATGGTAAAATATTGAAACCAATTGCAATCTTGTCTTCTTCTCACACTTGTAAGAACTTTTCTGTCAGAGTTTGGGGTCACTCTAGAAGGCAGTAAACAAAATAGAGACAGACCATCCCATAAAACAGAAAATATAAACATTAGCTAAATGGCTATGAGGTCTATGATGATGATGATAATGAAGACAATACACAAGACACTTAAGTTCACTGTCAAAGATGTTCTAGTTTAAGAGAAAACATATGTTACTGAATCAGTACTTTCAGTCATATCAAAACATACTGAAATACTACTGCTTACCTTCCATCAAAGTACTCAGCAATTGTTGGAAAAACAGACAGAACTAAGTGACTAAGATAAAAATAAGATGGAAGGCAAGCCTTATCAATCATACAAAAATTCCACTTTTGTTTAAGCAATACAGTACATTTAGTAGTGATACTGGAGTCACTGATATTTTCAGCTCCAATACAGTTTTGCCTTTTTAGTCAGGAAATCCTTTACTAAAACATTTCTTGATCCTCATTTTCTTGTGGAAAACAGCTAAATAAGAAATATATCACTGACTAATGCTAAATTCAGTAATCCAGATGGCATCATTATTCCAGGAAAAAGGATATACAGTATCATTGCTGCTATGGACAACTCCTAAAATCAAGAAGAGTTTTACAACCCTTAAACTAACTAGATTCACAAAGTAAGCTACATTGTACAACATCTTTTCTAAAAATTCCATCTTGTCTTTGCTGATAGCATCAACCACAATTATCATTCTTGTCTTCATTTTTTAAAATACAAAACTGAAGACCTGATCTATTTGAAAGCAATCTTTGTGTATATCTAGTTTTGTGGTGGCTGCTTGCCTATTCAAACACTAAATCAAAAATTGATTTAAATTGATTTAAGATTTTCCCCTGTATCTTTTTTGCCAATACCTAACTGGTTACCCAAACAATTTGAACCAGAGTCTGTTAGAGGGTGTATTTGTAGGATGACTCTCTTAGTATGGAGCAAAAAAGGCTGTCTTTGTATTTAGGGTGCATGAGTGCCTTTTCCTCATTTTGTATATGTTTATGTATGTGTTTGAACAATATGTTTTATAAATAAATAAGTTTTTCTAAGCATCATTGATTTCTCTTCTGTGAATTGGCTATTTTCTTGTGATTTGTGTGAGCCTTATCCAAATAAAATTTGTCTGTGGTAAGAACATTTAGAGAGCGTTCCTTCTCCTCATAAGGAACAGAATATGCAGATCTGACAATAGGCCTTCTCAATGGTGCTGTCTACTTAATGAGATATCCTTCTCCCAGAAGTGTATCAGTCCCAACTCTCCTTATATTCCATAACCAAGTTAAAGCAATTTGGGATGCTTTCAGTCTTTCATTGAATCTGGCAATCTGTCATTGCCTGTATCTTTACTTACTGATTTTCACTGGTATATAATTTGAATTTTGAAGTTTGTGTTACGCTATTGTTGCCCAGAATTCATGTTGATTGGGGTGGGTTAACAAATATTGTTAATAAATCAGTCCATCAACATAGTATAATGGTATGTGGGAATAACCTTTGGGACACAGGGCAAGTAAGGGAACAGCCGGATAAAAGGCAGCTGGTCCCACAGCAGGAATGTGAGTAGGGCATGAGAATCAATAAGCCCCTTGCCTAGTTTTAGGGCTGTAAAAAGATGGGGTTTTCTCTCACACTTGCAAGATTCTGTTAATATAATCTTACAATAAAATAGAATTAGCTCATATGGTTGTGTTTCCTGTCTGGTATACCTCATAAGGCTGACAAATACCTTGAAACTATTATTTAAAATTAGGATTATTGCCAACACTAAACTACCTGTTGAAATCTTCAAATAAATTATATGCAAACAAATACATCTGGATTAGCATTATAGCAAGCTAAATCATTATCTCAATTCCTATGTACTATATGTGTACACAAATTTGCTGCTGCAGATACTAGAGTAAATATCTTAGCATTTATATATATTTGGAATAACTATTCTTTCACTATTTCTGGTCTTATTCAGTTAGATTTTGATTATAATTAAGCTATTCATATATAGGAATGTAATACTACATTTTACTAAGTGTCTATTCAACAAGAGTGTACTGTAGTGAATAAAATGCTTTAATTTCTAGCTAATTTGGTGGCAGTTATACCTAACTGTAAGTTAAACAGTATTTTAGTCTGTATGTAAAGCAGCACACTCCCGCCTTTTTTTACTGCAATCAGCACAAAATCCCACACATCTGTAGCTCCTTCTATAGACAACTGCTTCTAAAGATTTCTATTTTAATGGATAGTTTTTATTTTGTTGACATTCCCTATTTATCTTATTTTATTCTAGAATTATTTTATAGGATATTAGAATTTGCTATACAGATACATTCTTCATTTTTAAAAATACTCAGGACCAAAATTCTCTCCTTTTCTAGTAAGCTTTATTCCTTCATAGTAATGATTGCATTTATAAATCTCATCCAGTTAAATTAAGAAATTTTAATTGCAGGCAGATTTCATATAACATTCAATTAAGTGATATGAAAATTTTGGTTTGCGCTTGACAATTTTCCAATTAAAGCAGGCTGATTTCCAAATAGCTAAAACACAGATTCAATGGAATTTTTCAGGACATTCACTGTTTATGATTACAAACATACAAGTCTCCCTTTAACAAATTTTCAGGATACACACACACATGTATACACAGACTGTCGTGTGTTATTTTACCTACCTAAAAGAGCAGCAAAAATAGGAAATCGATTTGGATTCAGGTCCAGTTGCTTGGCAACTTCATGCATCAGGTATTGGCTTGTTGTGAGGCTTTTTCCATTACGGCTCAATTTTAGGGCATGGGCACTGAAATAGTAAGGGATGTTGCACAATGCATAATCTGAATCATATGCAACCAAACCATGAAAGCCTTTTTCTCGGCAAAAACCAATTACTTCTTGATGATGATCTTCGATACTTTGTGCAACCTACACAAGAGAAAAGGGAGATACAAAAGAATATATTAAAAGTTAGCACCCATTTGTACATATAAACCAAAGTCTACATTAATATCACAAGTTTTAAAAAGTTCATATATAGAATATGAAGTTATAACTTGCTAAACATTATACAATTAAACAAAAAATAATACTCAGGCACTCTTCAACACCACGCTGCTTTATATTCAGCATTCCTTTGGATGAAACTAGTAAGCTTATTTAGAATGGACTTGCAAGTGATGCTTAATGATGCTTCATCCAATGCTTTATGACCTGTTCCCCATTAGCAAGCCACAACCTACTTTTTGAGAAAAGCTGCCTTAATAGGTTCATCATATTCCATCCTACTCTTTTGGTGGCAGAATAATCAAATGACTCTTTCTGTGGTTGACAGCTTGACCAACTTTTCCTGAAATTCACCTACAATTCTATTTCTACTCATTACAGAATGACCCTGGAACTTGAACTAGGTCAATTTCTAGGGAATGAAAGTGATCTATTTTAGATAATTCAAAGCAGAAAAATTGTAAAGGTATTATGAAGCATTTCCTATTTTAAAAAAAATATAATACAATTGTTATACTATACAAAATAATTTAGAACTAAAAAGGATAGGGAGGTTTTTCTCAAGAAAGGCAAAACCTTAGTTCTCAAAAAGGTTAAAAATAATGGGCAAGTAAAGCTGAAGATGACAGTACTTCAGATCCAGAAATACTGATTACATGACATTTTATATAGCAAAACATATATTCTCAACTTTGAGGCTTTTTCCTACATTACTCTCAGCCTCTTTTTTCCTGAAAATATGTGCTTTCAATATTTGTTGCATATATTAAAAATGTAAAGCTTTATTATAGTGGTGATTTTTCTTTTTCTATTTGGCTGCTGGTTTTTCCTTGCCCAGAAAAGGTAAGTAGATTCCATATTTCTCAGAATTCAACTATCTGTAATTCTATTTATTTAGAATTTATCATAATTTTAATAATTTTAAACTAGCTATAAAACTAACATTAACTTTCTCATAAAATACATGCTCCACTGTACAGAACACAACTTTAATTAGTATATTTCATACAATTATAAATTAACACAACTTATCTTAAACTCTTTACATTTCAAAATTATGTATTTCATATTTCCATTTTCTTCAAAATGCTGGTCCACTCTCAGAGTAATAGTATTTTTTTCTAATTACATTTCTGGAAATTGTCTACACCTAGGTAGCTAGTTAGGATATGATGATGACCATGGATTCATTTAATGATTCCGAGACCCTATTTATAATTTCATCAATTTCCATTCTCTAATGCCATAGGAATTTTAGAATAACCTGACTACGCATTTAGCAAGAAAAGCTTCCATAAAAATGCCTCAATGTCAGATGTCCAGTTTTGTGGCAAGCAGACAGGGGGTTTCTCTTGTATTGCTTCATATTTATGAACTGATTTCCACATTCAGATTCTACAATTTCATTACAAAAATTAAAACCACCTTTTTCACCAATCTTTTTAAGAAGCTGAATTAATAATATTTGTAATTTACTGTATTTAACTGTTTATTGTTAAATTTACCCTAGACTGCTAGATGTCTTAAAATAATCTATAGCTAGAAAAACAGTACTTATAGTACAATCATGCAGGTCACACTGAGTTTGTGGGACTTTTTTCTAGGAAGAATATTATGATGTTTCTGGTATTAATTAAAATATCAATAACCTAATTTTCCGAATACAATATAATTCATATACAACGGATCAACTATTTTGAATATGGGGAACAGAATGAAGAATTTTTTTTTAAAAAAATCTCTCTCCAATCTCTTAAACACACCCACACTCAACATAACCATAAACAGAACTTTCTTTTCTTTTATAAATCCATATTTTCTACTAATCTTCTATCTGCTCCATTAAAAACCAAAAAGTAAAACTATAAATTTCAATTTCCACAATGACCACCCTGATCAATTCTTGCTCAATTGCCCAGAAAAAAGCATGCCAATTTGGTGGTGAGCATCAGACTAGATACCCACACAATACAACCAATATTGGGGGGGAGAGGATGGCCAGTGGTTAATCGAGTCTTATGAGCAAATGCTAATTAAAATACAAAAGCAATGGAAAGAATCCAGTATTACATCTTTACTCAGAATATCAAAATCATGAAAAATAAAGCAAATATATTGTGCACGATATCCTAAATGTTTGGTTCAATATACCTTTATTAAAGATTAGGTCTCCCAGATTTGATCCCCTTCAAATATAATAGATTATGTAGGGTCCTTAGTGCTCACTGTGCTTAGTTGCTTGCCCTGTCAGTATAGGTGGGAGTCATTTTGTGGTTCCTTGATAAGACTGTTGTTTACTGTTAGCTTGTTTGCCTGAGTTGATGGTTCCTTGATTGGGGTATTGTTTATTTCTTGATTGTTGGTCTTCTGCTAATCTTGGTTTTAATCTCTGCTGACTGCTAGTGAGGAAGTATTTTGATTTTTTTTTTGTTTCCTTTTTGCCTGTTTGATTATCTCTTTTGAACAGCATGTAGATCAGCGGTTCTCAACCTATGGGTCGCGACCCCATTTGGGGTCGATCGACCATTTCATGGGGGTTGCCAAGCAAGGCTGTCCGCCATTTTTTTCCCCTTTTCTGGCAGGTGCCTTACCTCCCTTGAGCTGGGCCAGCTGGTGGTCGGCCTGCTCCGTCTCTGCCGCTTGCCAGCTACGCCTCGGCCGGCACAGGGGGCGGAACCACGCATGCGTGGCACTCCCGGGCAGGGAAAGTCCTCGACTTATGACCGGTTGGGTAGTCCTCGACTTACGACCGGTTTAGTCCTCGACTTACAACCGGTTTAGTCCTCGACTTACGACCGGTTGGGGGTCACGGCATTAAAAAGGTTGAGAACCACTGATGTAGATGTTGTTTATCTCTATATGACTGTGGATGGCAGAGTATCAGTCTTCCAGGAATTCTCTAGCATTTTTTTGAGATTGGGATTTAGCTTGGTCTATGATGCTGAGTTTCCAAGAAACTATGGTCTGTCCATGAATTATGAAATTAAGGAGTTTTCATTAGGTCTTCTGACTGCTAGATGGTGTTCATGGATGTCTAAACCAGGGCTTTTCAACCTTTTCACCCATTGTACCACTTTTAGGATATGGCAATATCTGAGTACCACCAATCGCTTAGCAAGGTGTCAAAAACTTGATGACCAAAAAAAAAAGGAAAAAAAGTGATGAAGTACAGGTAGTCCTCGACTTACAACAGTTTGCTTAATGACTGTTCGAAGTTACAATGGCACTGAAAAAAGTGCCCCCCAAGACACAGCCGAGCAAGAAACAGGTTTTCATTGTTGTGAGCATTTCTGTTGAGGATTGGCAGCGGGGGTGGGGAGTGTTTGGTTTTTATTCCCCGTCTTCTGAGTGGTTGCAGCAGGTTTTGGTCACTTCACATGACCCTGGGACACTGTGACCATAAATATGAATCAGTTGCCAAGCATCTGAATGTAAATCACAAAACCCTTGAGATGCTGCAACATTCCAGCTGATAGGCGCTTCTTGTGGGCTCAGAAGCGCCAGGATTAGCGCTGAGCTCCAGCTGGAGCCTGGTGCTGATCCTGGCACTTCCACTGAGCCCTGACAGTCCCGAAGAAGTGCTGATCCTGGCGCTTCCGCTGAGCCCTGCAGCTCCAGCCATCTCTTGCTCAGGCTTGTGCGGTGCTGCCACCAGTTCAGCACATTCCCCTCCCCTGCTACCACTTTTCTAGGATGGTCGCGTACCACCTGCCAGATGCCAATGTACCACAGGTGGTACCCGTACCACTGGCTGAAAAGCCTTGGTCTAAACAACCAAGCTCAAGAGAGCACCAAATACCCCACAGTTCAAACATTGAGCTAAAAATATTCTCTTCTATCAGTAATGGAACATAACTCTTATAATCTTCATCAAGTACTTTGATCAGAATAGATAGGTGACAGAATGTATAATCTGACACATTTGGATAAATTGGAGAAAAAGTCCAATAGGTAGTGCCGAGTGTCAAATGACAGAAACAGCATTTCACTGAAAGTTATTTAAAATAGCTTTATGTATTTATAATCTGAAAGGCAGTTAAAATGTACGTGTCATGTACTGACATATTAGGTGTTCTGAATATAACTTCCCCTTGATCCTCTTACTATTTAGACTCACAGATATTCTCTGTTGTTTATGCAATTTATTAGAATTATGCACTTGAGATTCCAATATAATGTGAATTATGTTCATTAATCAGACAATAATTCCAGTACATATTATAACATAAACAGTCATCATGATGGAATTTATTTTATATTTTTAATATTATCTTTAATATAGTTCACTAGAACTTTATTCCACTAGACGTAATGGTATTAAGCCAGTTCATATTTAAAGGATTACTGCAGAAAAATAAATATCTTATTGAAACTTTCTGTAAATTTAGAGTAAGAAGAACTGTTGCTAATGGATTTAAAAGTTCACATTATGCTATAACATTTGCTTTTATTTCCATTTTACAAGAAAAATTCTTATTAAGTGCTGGAAAGAAAAATGTTTTTAATAAAAATTTCAGAACATCAATACTCTTTGAACTCACTGATCCTTTTTCTGCAAAGACTACTGTAAAAATGGGTTTCTAGCTTCAAATCATGTATTAAATAGAAATATAAGTCACATCTGATTTAGAGAAATATGATTGCACTTAGCAGCTTTCAGATGAGTAACAAGAACAGAGCAATCTAACTTGTTCGCTATGATGTTACACTTAATGTCTGTCACTTTTATAAGCCAATCATTACACCAGATTTGTCGACTTGTAGGCTTACTAAATTTCTTACCAGTTACAACTGAAACAAGGGGAGGGACTTCCACTAGCAACTTAGTCTGAAGTATCACAGCCATTCTATAACACAGAATGAATTCTAGGCCTTAAACTGCTAAGTTTCAGTCAGAAAATAATTTAACCCACACTTACAGAAAAAAAGTGTTGTGTTTTCAGTTTCACTGAACTTATTAAAAACTAACTTTTGATATCCATGTCTAAAAATATTCTGTAGCTGAGGGTGAGGAGGATCCTTTGTCTCTACAGCTATGGATTTATCTGCCACAAAGCAGAGCCTCATAACATCAAGTTCCAATTACTAAACTATACATTATCTGTAAAGGTCACATATTTACTCAACTATGCAACAGAACTGACAAAACTCTTCACTTAGGAGAACTAAGAGTTCAAGCAGGATACTTCACCAGTAGATTTATTTTAAGGACAAAACAAAATAAAATAAAATGCTATTACAACTATTATCATGAGAACAATACTATATAATTATCCAGGGGGGAAAAACTTAAGAAAAAATGGAGGAATAACTCTATGGTCATTGATCTACATGCAAGTCTGTAAATCAAAGCATATTATAAATAAATTTATTCAACCACATATATAATTGTGTTGTTTCATAGTTGTATAGTAACAATTTAAAACTTAGTATCTTCTACAAAAGTATAATTAAATTATTTACAATGGTTGTATTGTTAGAGTCTAAAGCCACAAGTTTCCCTGCCCTCTAAATCATACATTAAAACTTATTTCTTGTGTGCATTTTCTTGACAAATATCTAATTTCCCATTTATGATTTAAACAAATTATAGAAATAATTCTACTTAAAACAAACAACTGGATCAAAAAATAACTCTGATTCAGAGTGGTTACTAGTTTCAAGGGTCATTTTGCTTATTTGAGGGATCAAAACAATGGAATTAAAGCACCTGAACCTGTTGTTTTCAAAAAAGAACACAAAATACACAGTTAAAAAAATTAGAGTGAACCCAGAACAAAAATATAATAAGATGGATTTTCCCCCCAACTGGCAATGCAATTCCCACTCCTGGATCAAGTACAATGATCACCAATTATCTTCCTTTATAGTTTAAACTATAGTTTATAGTTTATAGCTATTAGTATGGGGAAAGAATGGACCTGACCTATACTTAAAAATGATGGCAGAAGGCCTGAGGAAAGATGGCAAAAAACTTGCATTATTAACAAGCCAGAAATCCAAGTTCAGGAACAATGGGACAAGAAAATGATGATTAGTTGAAGTGTTTAATCTTAACAACTCATTAGGACTTCTTACGTTGTGGATGGGAGCCTTTGGATGTTCCAGGTTCCTCTCATCTGATTTTGAAAGCTCTATGTATAAATAGAAAAATCCCTGTACAGATTTGAGGACATCAGTTTGCTTACTAAGTCCTCTCCTATGCCAGCTCGGGCACCCTGTACCTCCCTGCCTCCTTAGTGAGGACGCAGCGAGACTTACTTATTTTTATTCTGTTCCTGGGAGGGGAGAGTTGTAGCCAAGACAAACGCAGTACTGTACAGTACTTTCGGGCCAACCTTGGATGATCATTAACGACCAGCGGGAAACACGCTGGATCCCAGGAAATCTCGTCTACCCGCCCAAGGTTCGAACTCAGTCAGTTTTCGACGACATTTTGCGGATATGGGAAAACAGAACTTCCCTCCCTTCCTCCCTCTGGAATTAGTCAAACCATAACCGGGAGGGAAAAGTCTGCTGCCATCTTTATTAATGCTGCCCCTCTGTCCACCGCAGGGAAGGGTCGGGGGGGGGGGCAACCCAGTAAGGTGCCGAGGCGCTTCCATGAATAGGAAGACGGTAGCTCAGGAGTTGATCCCCGAGGGGCGTCAGGCCCCTGCTAAAGGGCCCCCATGAGACGGGTGGGGGAACCGGATAGTGGGAAGCGAGTAAAAAAGGAGCGAAAAGCAGAGGCAGAGCAGGGCTGGAGGGCAGATCGGGGCTGCAAGGGAGCCCTGGTGTCGTGGGGCAGGGCGACGCATGCAAGGGGACCCTGGGGCAGCTCAGAGGGCGATGGGCAGCCTCTGAGTAGGCCGTTCTTTCGCTCGCTTACCTTGATGTGGAAGCGGATGAGGGCCAAGCGGATGCAGTGCGCCATGCAGACAGGCGGGAGAAACCAGACCTTGGGCGGCGGGGTGCCCTTGTTTTGGACGTGGCTGACAATCTGTTGGGCGGTCTGGCGCTCGTTGCCTTGCCGCTTCACCCACTCGTGGAGCCGGGCCTTTTCCAGGGCGCCGTTGAAGAAGACGAAGAGCTCGATGTTGCCGTTGAAGCAGGCCTTGGCCAGCGCCGCCAAGTAGCCCAGCATGTGGTTCCATTGCCCGCCGCTCACCCAGTCCGTGTAAAAGCCGCCGTAGAGTCGGTGCAGGCAGTTGTCGGCGTCGATGAGGAGTCGCAGCGGGGTCTGGGGAGGCCTTTGGCGACCACCACCCACCAGACTGCCCCGGGCCAGCTTCTGCAATTCCACCGGCACTACGGCACTGGGGCAGTGTTTCTCGATGTAGTCCTGGAAGCCCTGCACTCCCATGGCGACGGTGGGATCAGGCTGGCTGTTAGCGGGGACTTAGGTGGCGACAACGGCGCAGGGAAGGAGCTGGCTGAGAAGAGCGTCTTCGGTCCGGGCGTGGAGGCGGCAGGAGCAGTTGCGATGGGTAGTGCTGGGCAGAGATGGTGCTGGTGGTCTAATATTATTCAACTAAGTCGTACTGGTTGGTTGGTAGATGGGTGAGCGGGTGCGGGCGGCGGCTGCAGTTACACGGTGGCTCTTCAGGGGGGAGTTGTATGGATTACTGGGGGATTCATGGCTGCTGCGCCCGCCATGTGCTGCTCTCACAGCGCCATGGCTCAGGGGATCCGGGTTACTGCTGCTGTGGCTGCTGCCGCTGCGGCTCCTTCTGCCGGGGAAAGGAAGGGAGGGAGGGAAAAGCGAGAGAGCAGGAAGGGAGGGAGGAGGAGGAGGAAGGGAAAGGAGGAAAAGAAGAAGGGGGGAGCGGCACAACGTGCAGGAAGCCAGCCCACTAGCCGTCGCGGAACAGGCGGGACTTGGCCCAGAGTGCCCAGGCCGCCACTCCCGCCCGCCAGCTCGCTCTGGCAAGCGGAAGGCAGCTGGATGAGGGCCGACGGCCCACGCTCCCACTTCCACCTGAATGGCAGAGCGGGAGGGCAGGCTGGCCGGGCCAGGCCAGCTCCCCCTTCCGTCTCCTCCGCCTCCTCTTCCACCTCCACCACCGCCCTCGACAAAGCCTCGGCTAGCAATCAAAACGGCCCCAGCGCCGCCGCCCTGCAGCTGGGACTCTAGGGCGCATGGCCTGTTGCATAACCCAAGCATGCGCACGGCGAGACAGGCGGGAAGAAAGTGGAGAGGAGGATTGGACCAGCCAGGGCGCGCAAGCGGAAATGAGGGAGGGATAGGTGCGTGAATGGCGGTGGCTGCAGGGAATGGGAGGGAAGGGGGCCAGAACGACGAGGAGGAGGAGGAGGAGGAGGAGGGGACGTGGTAGTGCGGGGTGCGTGTGTGAGGATTCCCTGGGGTTCGAGGAGGAGCGGGCCTTCGGTGGCTGGACATCCACATGCCACCTGCGGCCGTGCGGTCGACCTGAACTCTATAAGCCTTGCTCTGCGAGGCTTCCTGCCGATAAGTATGGATACGAGTGCTAATATTTATTGTACATGCAAAAACCCTCACTTCGAACTCTACTTCCGCGACTGCATTTGCACCTGAGAACATGAAGCCCGCTCCGTGAAAGTGCACGCCTCAGTTCATGCACAAATAATGTATCACACATTGGGCAACTTAGTTCCATTCAGGGTTGTGTGTGAGTAAACTCATTACTTATATAAAGTGAATTCAAAATACCTTTATAACATCAAGGGGAAGCTTAAAGCACAAGATTAAATAATAATATATGTATGTATTTATGTGTGTGTGTGTATGTGGTGCACATAAAGAGCTCTCTAATTAAACTTAAAGAATCAAGAAATTGTAGTGTTGGAAATGACCTCAAAGATCATCTAGTCCAACCCAGTTTGGTGCAAGATTTGCAAAACATTTCAGATAGATGTTATGCAGTTTAGTTGAAGACCGCCAGTTCAAGGGGCAGCCTATTCTGTTAGCTAACAAAATTTATCATCAGGAAATTCCTCCTAATAATCTAACTTTAATTATTGGTACTGGTCCTACCCTTTGGTTCTGCTTGTCCATCCTGAAACTGTTTTGCATGTCTATTTAGGAATACCATAGTTGTGTTAAGACTGTTGAAAGAAATAAGAGCTAGAACTGCATATTAAAACAAATCACTGCCTTCCAAGAATTTTCCATGTAGTGGCTGTTAAATTAGGGATAATTTGGCATATCCTGGGGGTAATGGAGCAATTTGTAATTGCTTATTTTTGAGTTGAGCATCCAGTTTGGGACTGCCAGTGCTGAGATGTTTGTGATTTTTTTACTATAATATTCAAGACTGGGAAAAGGGGTATTTGGGTCAAACAGCTTAAGGACGGTAGGAGATAGTTTCATGCCTTAGGCATGAAAGCCAGCTGGGTGATTGGGGCCAATTACCCTCTCTTAGCCCAACCCACCTCACTAGGTTGTGGGAAAATAGGAGGCAGAAGTATTAACTATGTCCACTGCCTTGAGTTATATATAAATATGTGGGATAAAAATATAATAACATTCCAAAACAACTGGAACACCATTTGAACACTATTAGCATTGACAAAATCATAATCAGTTGCAAAAGGCAGCTTTACTTGGAACAGTTAAATCCGGCAATAATATCTTTAATATTAAACAACAGGTTCTACCTATCCTAGGTCTTTGGAAAGGACTCAATAGATGGAGAAGAAAAGCTAAATCCAGTCTAAACATCTGGCTGACTATGGCAAGCGAAAGCAAAGATCCTGCAATCAACCAGATATGCCAATGTTAATACTTTAATCTTTCCAGAAAGTACTGCAATCACCACAACACCATTCCTCTTGGTTTTCCCTCAGCTAGGAAACCAGAAATTCAGGGGAAAATATAATTATTTGCTATATTTATTGATTAATTTTATTTATAAGAATTTCTATATCACCCAATTCTACATGTCATAGGTGGTTTACAAGATAACTGTGAGTACCAACATTAGTTAGCAGAATATAAATATGGCAGCCTTTTTGCAAACTCAACTAGAGAACAGTAAAATTTCTTCAAATCCAGCTTCTCTTAATATATATCTAACATTGAAGGTTGAATAAGGGAAGTGTATAAAACTTTGTTTGAATCAATCTCTTATCGTATTCATGACTATAGGTTTTGTATTGTGATAATGTTTTGGGATTCCTACTTTTCTAAGCACATTCCATTGTCTGATGTTTTTGATAAAAGTAATATTTTTCATAATCAATAAAACATGCTGACTTTTTAAAAATATTTGACTTTCTCAGTTATCCAGTGTGCAATACAATAATCTATAAGCAATACCTGCCCCAAATGACATTAAGGCAGAGAATGCTTTATCTTTTTGACTGGCTTTCTGTGAACCTGTGAACTTCACTGATAATAAAGGAGCTTACAAGTGGTTATTTACACAACAGTCTCCAGAATCTTTAGCAATCTGAAGGAAAGAAAAACCAAAATAAACCATTAGCACTCACCATCAGACATGGAAAATATTCCATTTGCATATTTTGGATGTTAATACATCCAGAAAACTGAAGACAACTTCCTATTCTGGGCAAACCACATTTGGAAATCCTGAATATCTTACTGGAGCGCTTCAATTGGCTTATTCTGGGGGGGAAACAAAATATTTGGAGGGAAAACAGGAATGTAAATGAAATTTTGCATTGCATTTTATATAAACTGGCATTAGAGTATTAATTAAATCCATGAATATATAAAACAGTACTACAGAATGATTTTTTTTTAAGGTAGTGACTAAACAGCCTAAAACAGCAGTAACATTTATTCAATAATAGGAACCTCTTCCCTTTCCTTTTTCCTTTTCCCCCCCAAAACTAGTTTGACATGGGCAAAATCTGATACAAAAATCAAACAAAAGCACTCTTTGTTTTTTGTGTCTTCAAGAGTAAGCTGTATGACTTCATTTCATTTCTGGTTGAAAATCAACCCATTTCAGTTCATTGACATCTAGGAAATCAATGAGTAATAAATTAATTTCTTCTTTTACTGCATTAAGTTTCCCATATTCTTGCTTCATATGCTCCATGTACTGACTGTAATCCTATCTTTGCTACTTTGAATTTTACATCAGCATTTATACATCCTGAAAACGTTAACCTAGTCATGTCATAAATACCATAAACTCCAATAGATCTTTCTCAGTAGTGTGTTTGGGTGCCATTTGAGTGGAAGGTCCAACACTTGGCTCTGTATTGCCAATCACTTTGTATTTTTGGCTTTTGCTGTATAGTATGCTGTAAAGTGATCCCTGCCCAATATAGGTTCCTGTTTGCTTTATCTAGGATGCCTTGGGTGAGCCTACTGGGAATATATTCTGTCAGTATACACTCAGGGCATTCATCATTCATATCTGCCAGAAATGTATACACATGTACACTCTGCTTGTGATGAAGCACTGAAATAAGATTTGAAGAGATTTCTTTTAAATAGAATAATTTAATTATTAGATAAAGTTCTTTGATTGCAGTGCCAGTTTTTTCTTTAAATATGTTTTATTAATTTTTTAACATAATCACCTTAATATTTGGTAAACTGTGTTGTCTGGGTTTACATTTAAGAAACATTCACTAACAGTTGATTTCTATAATCTATAATCCACATAATAACTTTACTTGATTTCCGCTTTTTCCCATAATGTTCTCTTTTACCAACCTTAAGTTAATACAATTCTTGTTTTAATTAATGATGATTGAGTATAAAAGTTTTCTAATATTTCTACATATAATAATCACATCAATATAATATTCCTTTTCTATCTAGTCATTCTGGTGGTCTCATCATAGATCCTGTTTACAGTTCTTGTTTACATTTGTTTTTCCCACAATGTTCAAAACATTCTTACTGGTTAAGGTTTTCTCAAAGTTAATTACATTTAAATATTTAAGTCTATTTTTCATATAAGCCAACCCAATACTTTTACCATTCTTAAGGAATAAATAAGACTAAAAAAAAAAAGAATAAGAATAAAAAAATAAAAAGATAGCATGCTACTTAAAATCCCTATTTCCTATAAGCTAATACATAATTATTTCCAATTTTTTTTCGTTCTTTTTTACCATAATTAAAAATATATTTGATCTTTAAATATTCCATTTAATAAGTCTAGTCCTCTAGTCTTTTAACTCTTATTCAAAACATTTTAATCCATTGTAATTTTCTTAAAGTCAGTCACCTTTAGATATCTAAAACATTTCCTTTATATAAGCCATTCCAATTCTTTTATATTACTCATATCCCTCTTAAAGTCAAATTCACATCCAATATTTTTCTATTTCTTTAACCATATTCGAACAGGTGTTTCTTTTTTAAATATTCTCTCTGATAGGCCCCATCGTCTATTTTCTTAATTTTTACTTTAGCCTTTTTCTTTTGTCCAGTATCTTTCTTAATCAATATGTTCTGCTGAATCAAAGAATCTTTCCATATTCTTGTAGGTGTTACTGTAGATATAAAAAGTACGTCAAGTACAATATCTTTGTGAGATGCATTTGCCCATTCATTTTTGTTGAAAATCTTTTTATTTCTTTTTTTTCTCTGCTTCTCTTATCATTTTTTGTCTCTCCAGTTCTAGTGTTTTTCCTGGCATCTCTGCAGTCCATTTTGTCCAATCTTTTTTCTTATCCTCAAATTTGTTTTGTGGTGTTAAAGTATAAGTTGTCTTTTCCAAATCCAGTATTTCTTGTAATTTT